CCCCGCCATGGGCAAAGACACACTCTCTCAGCCTCAGAGGATGAGCAGACTTGCCAAAACTCAGGCGGCCCTTTAAGGGTTTTTCTCAGCTGTAGAAATTCCCTGTCACACTCTCTCAGCCTCAGAGGATGAGCAGACTCGCCAAGACTCAGGCGGCCCTCTAGGGGTTCCTCTCAGCTGTGGAAATTCCCTGCCATGGGCAAAGTCACACTCTCTCGGCCTCAGAGGATGGCCAGATTCACCAAGACTAAGGCGGCCCTCTAGAGTTTCCTCTCAGCTGTGGAAATTCCCCGCCATGGGCAAAGACACACTCTCTCGGCCTCAGAGGATGAGCAGACTCGCCAAGACTCAGGCGGCCCTTTAATGGTTCCTCTCAGCTGTGGAAATTCCCTGCCATGGGCAAAGACACACTCTCTCAGCCTCAGAGTATGGCCAAACTGACCAAGACTTGGGCAGCCCAATAGGGGTTCCTCTCAGCTGTAGAAATTCTCTGCCATGGGCAAAGTCACACTCTCTCAGCCTCAGAGGATAAGCAGACTGGCCAGGTGAACTTCTAGGCAGGGGTTCCTCTCAGCTGTAGAGATTCCTTGCCATAGGCAAAGTCACACTCTCTCAACCTCAGATGGCCAGGCTCGCCAAGACTCAGGCGGCTCTCTAGGGGTTCCTCTCAGCTGTAGAAATTCCCTGCCATGAGCAAAGTCACACTCTCTCAGCCTCAGAGGATGGCTGGATTCACCAAGACTCAGGTGGTCCGCTGGGGTTTCTCTCAGCTGTAGAGATACCTGCCATGGGCAAAGTCACACTCTCTCCACCTTAGAGGATGGCCAGGGTGACCAGATGTCCTAACCACAAAGGAAAACAAGGCACAGCAAAATGGAGGACGTTCAATAAGAATGTGGGACGTTACTAAATAAAAGCTAAAAACACTCATAGAAATGTAAATCATGCATCTTAGGCTGCATCTGCACTGCAAAAATAATCCAGTTTGACGCCACTTTAACTGCCACGGCT